CTGGCATTAGGGTGATGCCAATCCAATCAATGGACAGATCCAGAAATCACCCACCCTTAATACCAGTACCCTTAATCCCAGCATTGCACACACTAGATTCATCCACCTCTGAAAATGAGGCCTCTGGGGGACATTTAGACATAAACCATAACTCCTACCAACAAAGAAAGATCTAAGTCTTATAGATTCACTGCTGAATTCTACAAGAACTTTAGAGATCTAATGCTACTTTCTCAAACTTTTTACTGAAATTAAAAGGAAAGCAATATTCTCAAACTCATTCCTATAAGCAAGCAATATCCCAATACCAAAATCAGAGAAGAAGCCAACCAAAAAAGAGCTACATGCCAATCTCCCTAATGAACATACTTGCAAAAATACTCAACAAGATACTGGTAAACAGAATGCAGCAAATCGTCAAGAAAATGATTTTTCATGACCTCGTAGGATTCATCCCAGGGACGCAGACATGGTTCAACATATGCAGATCAATCAAAGTAATACACCATGTTAAAAAAAAACTAAGGACAAAATCACATGATAATCTCAATAGAAGCAGAAAAAGAATTTGACAAAATTCAACACCAATTCATGATAAAAATCCTACAGAAAAATGGAATAGATGATCTTTTTCTCAATCCAGTAAAAGCCATCTCTGGCAAATCAACAGCCAACATCATATTAAATGGACAAAGAAAGAAAACTTCACTTTAAAGTCAGGAACAAGACAAAGATGTGCACTGTCACCACTCTTATTCAAAATTATTCTGGAAATATTAACCAAAACAATTAGACAAAATAAGAACTAAAAGTAGTAAGTATAGGAAAGGAAGATGATAAATGATCATTATTTGCAGATGACATCGTATTCTACATAGAAGACCTCAAAAGTTCCACTAAAAGACTTCTAGATTTAATAAACAAATTCAATAGTGTCACTGGATACAAAGTCAGCACTCAAAAATCAAAAGCATTTCTGTACAGAAATAACACATTTACAGAGAGAAAAGTTAGAGAAACCGTACCTTTCACAATAGCACAAGAAAATGTAATTCTTAGGAATTGGTCTAACAAAAGAAGGAAAAACCTTTAGGTTATGATTGTAGTTGGATATTCCACCCAAAGCCTCATGGGGGAGGCAATATTGATGGGGGTGCTTTTCAGAGGTGGCTGAATCCAGAGTTTGTGATTGATTCATGGTCCAGCACTGTAATTAAGGGTGTGAGTGCTACATCCAACCATGGCCTGGCAGCCTGCATACAAGTCAAGGCACAGAAAAAGTCTTCTTTCTCAGTTGTTGCTTTGCTGTCTTCTATCACCATGAATAGTCTCTGTCATGTGCCATCCTGCTTTGGAGACAGTCAATTAAGAACTGAAACCTCTACAAACTGTGAGCTAAACAAACTTTTCCCCTTCCGTTTTGGATGCCAGGTACTTTCTCTCAGCAATGAGAAAAGTAATCAGGACACTTTGCATTGAAAAGGACAATACTCTGAAAAAGGAGATTGAGTAAGATATCAGAAAATGGAGAGATACTCCTTGTTCTTGGGTAGGAAGAACAATATAGAGAATATAACCATACTCCTAAAATTGTTATACAGATTTCATGCAATATGATCAAAACACCAATTGCATACATCACAGAATTAGAGAAAAATCCTAAAATTTATTTGGAACCAGAAAAGACCTAGCATAGCAAAAGCAATTCTGGGCCACAAAGGTAAGTCAGGAGGCATTTCAATCTATGACCTGAAATTATATTACAAAGCTTCTGTGTTCCCATGATCTTGTTTTGACTGATTAGACTCTGTTCCATTCTGTGCGATAGTATCAAGTCTGAGGGTATAGGCAACTACTTTGAAGGCAATAAGATTCACAAAGATGCCCATTCTGGTTTGACTATTGTCTCCTTTGGAAGTCCTGTAATGTTTACAATGCCTAAGTTTTATTGGTCTTGTTCTCTACTGTTTTGTCCAACTTTATAATATCTAATGAGATAGACAAATCTTTTTAAGGAAACAAAAGACAACGTTGATAACCATTGTCAATAACCTTGTACTCTGTTCTACATCATGTGCTATGTCTATCCTTGGTATTGACTGACAGCTTTGTTTTGCCATACTTGACTTTATTCTCTCCCCCCCCCAAAAAAAAGTAATAAGAACTAAGGAGTAATAAAATCCAAAATGTGTAAATTTTGTTGTAAAAAAGAGAGGGAGGAAAAAAAAAGAGCTCTAACGGATATAACAGCAAGTGTGTTTAGGGGTGTTAAATAGCTGACTATATTAATGTTTTTGGATCATTGAACACAGTTGTTTGCAGTCTCTCTGTTTGAATGTCTACTTTATATTCTTTGATACTGTGATTTGAGCAACTATCTCCAAGATGATATTATGTAATCTATTAACAGGTGATTTCTTACTGTTATGTTTTTTTTTGTAGTTCTGTATTATGTGTAACCTTACACTGCTTTGTTTTGTTTTGTGTTTTTCTCTTTTTCCTCTTAAATAAAAAAAAAAACAAAGCTTCTGTGTTAATAACAGCATAATCCTGGCAAAAAAAAATTTTTAATTCAGACCTTAGGATCAGTGGAACAGACTAGAAGATGCAGAAATAACTCCAAGCTCACTTAACAACCTCATCTTTGACAAAATGGCGAAACACCTTCACTGGAGGAAAGACAGACTCTTTAGTAAGTGGTGCTGAGAAACTGACTTTCCACATTCCACAAACTAAAACTAGACCCATATCTCTCACATGCATGAAACTAAAATCAAAATGGATCAAAAATCTAAATATTAAAACAGAAACACTGACTGTGTTGGGAGATACAATAGGTAGAACTCTTGAAAACTTTGGTGCAGGCAAAAACTTTATGAACAAAACTCCAGTCACACAGGAAATACCACAAAGAATACACAACTTGGGTCTCATCTTACTAAAACACTTTTGCACAGTAAAAGAAAGCTCCAAAAGAGTGAAGAGACAACCCACAAAGTTGGAAAAAATTTTTGCTAACTGTTCTCCAGCAAAGGACTAATATCTATAATATATAAGGAACTCAAAAAATCACACCCCCGATATTAAAAACCCAGTTCTGAAAATGAGCTCCTGAAATGAATAGACACTTCTCAGATGAAGTAGAAACAGCAAATAAATGTATGAAAAAATGTCCAACATCACTGATCACTAGAGAGAGGCAAATTAATACAACACTGAGGTTCTATCTCATTCCAGGAAGAATGGCGATCATCAAATCAACCAATAACATCCATTCTCACAAGTTGAGGTTAAAAAAAATCAACCAATAACAAATGCCGGCAAGGCTGTGGGGGGAAAATATCCTTCTTCACTGTTGCTGGGAGTGTGGACTCATGCACTCAGTGAAATGAATCGAAGAGAACCAATTTTCAGAGGCCCTTTTTGAGGAGTGGTCCCAGAGCTCTCTTTTCCAATGAAAAACTTACATGCACATACACACACCTTGAGCCTCTGATGGATGAGGTTTTGTTGATTTCTGAGATGCCCTCAAAGCATCTTTCTTCTTCTTCCTGTACAAAGTACTAGGTTCCTTTTTAATGATGCTGACCTTTTTTTAACAATCATACCTACTTTGTCCAATTTTACAATGTTCCTTCTGGACCAAAAATTAAGTTTTTCAAATTTTCCTGCTCTTCGTTTTTCTCCCAATTTGCATTATAAATCTGGCTGAGGGAAGCTGGGCTGCCTTTGAATCTCCTGACAGGTCAATTAGTTCACTGCCCCTAATCTCAGTTTCCTCGAGGTCTCAGAACATGAACAAAATTAGAAAATTTTCTGCCAGAGTATAACACACATGGCCTCTACCAATGAAATCCTTCTTCCCAATGAAAAGCTTCTGAGTCTGGCCTTTCCTCTCTGCATTCCTACCAGTATTCTGATCTTCAAACCCCTGACCAGAATCATCCATCTGGCTCTCCTTACAGCATTCTAAGCTGCTCTAGTCCTCATTTCCAAATTTTTCCAAATGCCTCCTACCAACCAGTTCCAAAGGTAGGTAGAGTCACAGAAAAGCCCCCACTTCTCTAGCACTAATTGTATTGGTCAGCTTTCCTTTTGCTGTGACATAATGCCTGACACCTACAACATAGAGGGAAGGTTTAATTTGGCTCATGGTTTCAAGGGATTTAGTCCATAGTTGGCAGTCTCCAAAGCAGAAACATCATGGCAGAAAGGCATAGCAAAACAAAGTCACTCAGTCCATGGTAACTGGGAAGCATAGCACCAGAACAGTACCAGAGAGGTAGGAGCAAGCGACCATGCAGAGACTGCCAAAGCTATGCTTTCATGACCTGCACAGACATATCAGGGGTGTTATACCAGCCTCTCAGGGATCCCAAAGCCAATCAAGTTAACACTGTACTCTAACCACCACATCATGAGAGTGATAAGACTGTCTCCAAAATGTGTAGTGAGAGTTAGACAGGTTAATGCTTATAAAAACCTAGAAGAAATGCCTCTGTACTGGCATGCACTCAATGAATGTTTCCGTATCTGTAATATTTATTACAATTTTCAAGGTATAGTACAGGAGACAGATACTGACAACTCCTGATTTAGAGAAGGCAAGTTCTATTGGTTCCCAAAAATAATGTGGGATACTGAAAATGAATTTTTTAAAGTGACTCAAAATGCATTTTTAAGCCAATTTTTAATTTATCCTATATGCTATCTGAAATAGCACTATGAATGGAACAAAGAAGATACAGATACAATATAATTTACTACTAATATAAATGAGTAAAAACAAAATTAATTTGTAGACACAAGCTCACCAGGAAAACCTTTGACACGTCATGGCAGAGGAGTAAAGACCCAAGGTTTGGGTAGCCATAAAAGGAATATTCAAAAGAAGGGATGTGCAAAAATAGTTTTGGACAATTTTCCTTGTTCCTGAAAGAATTAATCATACTTATCATATATTTATTACTTAATCAATATCCACCCAATTTCTCAGTGCATGCTTGTTCACTGATCTTTATTCTTTCATTATGCATTTTTCAGATACTTACTGCTGCTAAGCACGGGCAAAAGAAACACAGTAACAGACTATATTAAAGAGAGAAAGACAAAAAGTACTGATTTCTTAAAAGGAAAATGATACATGCTAAGTGATCTGTGTTATATTTAGGGTGATATTTAGGAGAATGAACCAAGCCATTGAAACCTTTTCTACTCAGCTGTAGCCTACACAAACACATTAAAAAATAACAACAACACAGCAAGTATTACACATCAATTTAGGAAAAAATTTGATGCGGAGAAGGGTTATTTCACCAATATGTCCTCTTCAGGGTAGAAGGGCAGGAGGCGACTCAGGTAGCCTAAAAACATTTTAGTTAACCCTGAATGTTTCAGCCTTTGCACTCAAGCAGAGGAATGACAGCCAACCAGATCCACCAGTCCTGTGAAAGCCACAAATGCTGGTTCAGATGACATCCTCAGTTTCTCCCCTGCATCCCTCAAGGGTGAAGTCCAAGGGCCTGGAGGACTGCTCCCCTGGAATATCATCTCCCTGCCGCCTGCTGCCTTCCTTGGTCTCCTCATGGATGGAGTCTGGCATGCAATCCTGTTCCGAATTACTCCAGACATAGCCAGGTAAAGTCACGTGGCTGTCGGGCGGCCTTCTGGAGGTCTTGGCGGGTTTCCCAGAGAGAAGTACCATGCGAGTGCTGGCCGCCATGTGCGACTGGCTGCTGGTGCTATGTGTCACAGTGGTGAGCACCGAGCCGTATCTGTGGCTGCCACACGGGGCCGTCCTTTTCCAGTCAATGGACAGATTCCACCTACTCCACGTCTTCTTCACCTCGGCCTGAACCTAAACCACCAGAAACACGATATGTGTCAGAAATAAGAGAGATCCTGCAAACGCTGCTACAGTGATGTTTAAACTAAAGTAGTAACCACTGGTTGAGATTCCTCTATGTGCCTGGATTTGGAGATACACTCCCTCTCAACCTCAAAAAGCCTTTCAGATGAGTGTTATTTCTGGAGATGAGCAAATACAAGCTTAGAGAGAATCAAAGAGACTTGTCCAAGACTCGTATTTAAATAGAAGTTGAAATGTCTGACCTGAGGGGAAAAAAGAGGATTCCAATTGGAGGAGAAATAAGAGATTAACAGAGGCAGTGTGGACCACAGAGCTCTCTGCCCAGGGCAAGTCCATCGGAATCCCTGTACTAGTGAGACCTGACCCAACCCTTAAATACCTACCTGGGAAAGTCCACTATTTGTTCTAGCCTGCTGGGTCCACTAATTTACAATCACTAATTTTGCATACTTCCTGAGGAGATGATTAAATGGAGGCTTGAGATTATCAGTACCTCCTATTTGACATTTCCCATTGATTGTTCTTATCATACGATAACCTACGCCCTCGAGTCATCCTTGGATTACACTCCAGAACTAGATCCTTCTTAGCATATGATCTATGCTTTCTTGAGTCTGAGTCTTCTGCCGAACTGTAATCCTTTACTAGCTCCACCTACCACTGTAAAAACCTAATAGTCACTACTTTGAAGTGGTGGAGGACTCATCTGGAGACACTGATTCCCAGCCACTGATGCAATACTATACTTGTCTCTGTTTCTTATTTTTCTTGCCGTGCTCTTAAGACAGACAATCGGGACTCTTGGCTGGCTCATGATACTAGCCAACACACCTGATAACAGCTCCCTGACTTCCCTTCTTAGAACATTTACCCAAAAGGGCTCACACTGTAAATATGTGCTTCTGGCAACTCCCAGAAGCTTCTCTCTCAAGGGTTGGTGAGCCATTCCTTCATGCTGTAACCCTCAAGACAGGTAAGACATCCGCGAGGACACAAACCTAGCTTTAACAGGTAAGTTACAGACACAGTCTAACTACATCCACATGCATGAGCTCTGTGCTTTTCCACTTTTGTGGGTCTGCTGAGCCCCTAAGTGCCTTCTATCTCTTTCTCCCTTTAAAACACTCCCTTGCCTAAATCAGAATGGACTCCATTCTTTCCCCAACTCTCAACAGTTCCTGAATGAAATCTGTGTCCACCGCTCTAACTAATGGCGAGGTCTTTGACAGCAGCTGAAGCTGAGGAATGGCATGGAAAAAATTAAACTTCGATTTGTTATTATTATAAAAGAAGAAAAAATGAAACAGAATTTCAAAACAATAGGAGAGTAACATCACATTGTCTCACTAGTGAAAGAAACTGAACAAGTAAATAGGACTCAAAATGAACAACAGATATTGTAATTGGGAAGGAACTGTTCAAATTGAAATTTCACGGCCACATAATTTGTACAGGCAAACTGCAGGAGAGGAAATGAGGAAAGAAGGCTGGTAAAACACAAATGCGGGCACTGCAAATGGGCCTTTAGCTGGTGGGCTTTTGTTGCCAATCCTTCCCCCGAAGATTAAGTTCTACGGCTACTGTGCATTTCCAGAAGGAAGCTTTTTTTAAGTTCCAAGAGAGCTGTAGAAGCAAACTCCCACCTGTTCATCTTGGCAAAAACCAGCACCCATACTCCAACCCCTTCTGCAAAATAAGTGAAAACAATGCACAAGCAACGCAAGAAATAACTACGATGCTATTTAATTTTACCACTTTCTGTGGAGACTGGCATAGCATCCCACAACGCCCAAACAATAAATGTGGTCAGAGGCACCAGGTGATTTACAACAATAAGTATTGAGCTGCAGCAAATGAAAATCTGAGAGAAGATGACAAGGCACCCAACAACAGATGTTACACTTCACAAGGTAAACAGTGTCATCCAATGTGGTACTTCTCTTTGTCATCTCCTAAATGAATTAAGATTGTCACATCACCAGCTTATAGTTTAAAAAATATATTCTAATGGATTTGTCCCAGAAAAACATATTTGAGTTTTTAATATAATTTGAAATGGAATATAAGTTTCAGTATTAACTATAATATCAAACTCACTGGTCATCTACATATCAATTTGTATTTCAATGAGTTTTTAGTTTGAACCTATGCAACTGAGTTACATTTAACAGTGATAATGACTTAGCTTATTTACATTAATGCTCACTTACTCAAAATAATTTATGATTAAAATAACTAAAATATCTCCCTTTTCACCACCCACTCTGTTATAAATCCTTGGAGTCCTCTAAATATTCAGTTCACATTATGCTGGCCATTTATAAACTGATATGACTTCAATTTCATACCCCCAAAGTCCCTGTGTTGCAATCTTAATCTCCAATATGACGGCACCAGGAAATGGGGTCCACACAGGTATTTAGATCTTAAGAGCACCACCCACATGAATGGATTAATGCCAAGTAGGAAAATGCTTGAGGTTGTAGGTTTGGTCCGGTGATGTGCTCTCTAGCATTTGTGAGCACGTTTGCCCTTCTGCCTTCTGCCATGGAATGACCCAGTAAGATGCCCTTGCCAGATGTGGGCCCATGAGTGTGCCCTTTCCAGCTTTTAGAACCACAGGAAATAAATTCATTCACTCATTATATATAACCTAGTCTCAGGCATTGTGTTACAAAATGCACTAAAATCCCAGCTTATCTGAACTAGACCTGTCCAGTGTTGGAGGCTCCCGCACACTCACCTCTCCATTGCAGTAGCAGTAGACGATAGACACAAAGAAACCCTGCAGAACAGAAAAGAATGTGAGCCCGCTGACAATTCATGAGGTTCACAGCACTGAAGTATTCGGTGTCAACTGGCTAAGTTTAACAGCTGCTTTTAATTATTCCTTTAGAAAATTACACAAATTATTTTCCTTCCTAATATTTCCAAATTCTTATGTTTATACTGTTTGCTTGAGATTTTTCTTTGATGTCAGCCAAGTCAAACAAATGAATAAAATGCTCTAAGATAAAGAAATGATTTCTATTACTTTGATTTCACTTATATTGTCATTCATCACAAAATACCCATGCCCTGGTGGGTACAATATATTTATACTCCATAAATGCTAGAAATGCAGACATAGAATGTCCCAAGGTAAAAACACAAAGAAGCTTTTCATTCACTCAAAGTCTCCATTGAGGATGCACAGCATTCTAGGAGCTGTTTAGCATGGCAGAGGTAAACAATGCAAACAAAACAGCTCTGGAAGAGAGAAAATATGGATCAAACACAAACAGCCACATGAGAAAGGCAAGGTGACAAGGGTTAAGCTGGCAAAATAACGGGCTGTCAGAACAATGGCGTGGATATATTTATTAGATGAGGAGCTCAATGAGCTTCTCTGACATTTAAGTTCGCTTGAGTGACAAGAATAAGAGATCAGATGTGCTATGTAGTGATTAGGGGAAAACACTGCAAGCAAAGGAGCCCCCGAGAAACAGAGCATGGAAGCAGCTGTGGGTTTGGGTGGCGGGAACGTGCCGGGCTCCGTGGAGTAAGGTGTGGCAGAAATGGAACTTTATTCTGACGGCAACAGGAAACCTTTGTTTATTTCTGGCAAGTAAGCGATAGAGTCAAATGTATATTTTTAAGATTCTTCAGGCACATGTGCATAGACTACATTTAAGAGGCAGGAACAGGCAGGGCGGAGATTCCACCATACGAGAGGTGACAGTTGTTGTTCAAAGAAGATGAAACGTGTGCAGCAGCCTCTTTCTTCTTGCCTTTTCCCATTTTTCCATCTTCCCTTCCTTCATCTCTTATTTTCTTTCTTTTTCCATATGCGAAAGCTGAGGATCCTGCTCTGCAGCGTTGCAGACTTCACAACAGTCTGCTGCTTATCTCAGGCCCAGGCTTACTGGCATGAGAAACAGGTCCAAAGCTGTCCCTGCCGGGGTCAACCTCCTCCTGACCTCTGCAGGAGGGAACGCTGCAAACACCAGAGAACAGCGCCCTCTTGTGGCCCCTGGAAGTCGGCGGAATCAAATCAGGGGGCAGAGAAGAAGATTGCCAGGAAAACAAAAGCCTGCAGCAAGCGTCCAGTGACTGGGCAGGACGGTTTACCTGAAAGGAGTTGAAGAAGAGTTCGCAGTGCATGCGGATCTCCCACCACAGCCCGGTGAAGGAGTGCGGCTGACAGATGAACACGATGTAGTGCACGCCGAAGACCAGGACCAGGACCAGGGTGGACTTGGCAAGTTTCCTGAAAGAGGAGAGCGAGCCTGTTTATTAATCAGTCTAGAGTGCTTTCCTGTGGTAGCTTGAGGTAAAAATTTAAGCGGTGCTAACAAGACTTGACTCTCCCGTCTCGGTGGATCCTGCCACTTTTGCTAGTTGCTGTTTTTTGGTTTGGTGTTTTGTTTTGTTTTGTTTTGTTTTTTGTTGGTCCTTCTTTCTATAGTAGTTGGGTTTGTTTATTTGTCTGTTTTTTTGGAGACAGTTGGAATAAAAGGAAAAGCAGAAAACAGACTGCTGCTTCCTGCCCGCCATGCCCTGGACTGATTCTCCTCTGCAGTGTCCTTCTGTCATTCTGCCTTGCCTACACTGCCCGGGGTAGGCTCAGACTTGTGATTCTCCTGCCTCAGCTTCCTCCAATGCTGGGTCACAGGCATGTGCCAGCATATATATTGGTATAATAGGTGTCCCCTGTCATTTCTAGTCTTCTTGATTATAGGATACTATTTGTATAAAGTTGTTAAACGGCACTTTTTCTGCCATCTGTTTTAGATCCCATGCTTGAAACTGAAATAAGCATTTCCTCTACTCACTTTCAGAGGCAGCATTTGGCTTGTCTTTCAGCTAAAATTCATCTACCCTTAGAAATATTTCACATGTTCATATGTCCTACCTGTGGTCAATTCCTCCTGCTTTTTCATAATATTCTCTGTCAAATTCTATAGTAAACTCTGTAGTTCTATTTTTGTCTAGTTTTGCTTTTCAAAATGGTAAGTTGACTAACACTATTTCCCTTAGCTGGTTTTTCACATACATTTTCATGTGCATTTGGAGAAATTCTGTTTTCCAATAGGATTACTCGATGGATAATTTTAGGTGTCAACTTGCATGAATTAAGGAATATCTAGAAAAATGGAAAAGCATTATTTCTGCCTGTCTGTGAAGGTGAATCCTGGGATGACTGGATTGGAGTTTGTGAACTGAGTGAGACAGTTCTGCCCTGAGTGTGAATGGGCACCATTCCGTCATCTGGGGGACCGGACAAAACAAAAAGGCCAATACAAGGTAAACTTTTTCTCCTTCTCTTTTGGAGCTAGAACACATCTCTTCTCCTGCCTTTGGGTATCAAAACTCCAAGTTCCTGAGCCATTAGGTCCTGGGATTTGTACCAGCAACCCCTTGGGTTTTGGAGCCTTCACTTTGGACTTAAGGTTACACAGTTTGCTTCCTGGTTCTAAGGCTTTGGACTTGACATGAGTTGTGCTATGGAAACCCCTGGTACTCCAGCTTGGTGAAGGCTTGTTGCAGGACTTCTCAGCCTCTATGACTTATGCTCCAATTCCTCTAGAAAGTCCTCTCTCATATATCTATCTATATCTTCTATCTGTCTATCTGTCTGTCTGTCTGTGTATTTATCCTCAGCTATATCTACCTGTCTTAGCAGTTCACTGCAAAACTCTGGATAATATGAATGGGATTACTCTGAATGATCCTTAATGATCTCCACCTCTTATTACTCATGTTCCTGTTCATCCTTCCTTCCTGAGTGTGGGCAGGACCGGGGACTAACTTCTGACAGACTATGACAAAGACAATAGGATGCCACTTCTGTGATTAAATTGCATTGAACTGTAACCTCCATATTCCTAGATGCTCTCTCCTTTGCCTCTTCAGGGAAACAAGCTACCATGCTGTGAACTGCTCTGCAGAGAGGCCAGGGTGATGAGAAAAAGTGGCTCTGGACTATAGCCAGCAAGCAAATGAATCCTACCAACTGTGATTTTATTTTGTGTTGTTAGTGCTTTTTATCCAAAATAAATTGTCCTATGTGACTGCTTTCTTACATCTCAAATTTGCTTTTCCATCTGTGAATTATTTCCTGTCTAGTAATCTCGAGCAATCTAACCTTCCATTCTCATTAGCTTTCCTCCAGCTGATTTATTTATTGTTTTATTTTGCTTTCTGGAAATAAGCTGTGTAGGTGAGTTGAGACCCACTAGACAAAGACCAGAGAGACCTGGATTCATATCCTACACTTGATATTCACTACCTGTATGACAGTGATTGAATTTTCTCTCTGAAATGATGGAATATATCCCAGAAGTCTGTACGAGTTCTGATATTTTAGTTTTACTAGGAAATGTCACTCACATACATATACTTTTTTTTTTTTGTCTTTTTCATTTTTATCGGTACCAGGGATCAAACTCACGACTGCCTACTCACAAGGCAGGTGCTTATGCCGCTGGGCTAAATCCCCAGCCCCCAGACATATACTTTCTTAACAGAACTTTTCTTCCAACTTCTACAGGTGGAGGATCCTGCAAAAATCATATTGCAATGCCTAATTTGAATGGCGACAATCTCACTTGCACATTCTCTCCACCTCGTTCTCCTTTGCCTGTCTCACCTGCACCATCTGCCTCTCCTGGCTCAGTGTCATCCGCCTTCCCTCATTCACAGTTTTGCCTGAAGCCTCTGAAATTTTTCCTCTGCCACTCCTCATCCTCACACCTAATACTTTGCATCACTTACAGAGATTCAATTTGAAAATTCTACATTAAGTCCATTTTGTTCAAGCCAGCATTCCTGAGCAGTAATGGGCTTCTCTGACCCAGCTGATTCCCCCCGCTATCGGACTTCTTTTAAGGTGTTTGTCCTCTGCCTGAATCCTGACCAGTAAGCGCTGTCTTCCCATGATTGTAAAACTGGGCACAACACTTTGAATGTCTTTAAGGCATCTAAATTCAATGTAACTTAATACAAGGAGTCAGCATTAATTATACTTGCAAAACCTTAAAGTCTAATCTCACTTTGAAAGGACAGTTATATTTCCATCTTTAAGATGAACGCTAAATCCCCTTAGAAACTGTTCTCAAACTCAAGCTAATTTTTGATTACAACAGCATCAACAGATCCAATTATACATTGCTTATATAGGGCAGATCAGAACAACATGGTCATGCAAGTAAAAGTCCAGGCACACTTTGTCTCCATGCAGACTAAGAACAGTTGTATTTGGCAATCAAATCTATTTCTAGTGGATATCCTGTTAGCTTAGTCATCTGGGTTGTCTCTCTCTTTGTCTATGATTCAGCTCCTTCACAAACTCATAGAGGTAAAAATTAATATGTACGAAACAATTGAATTCATTTTCTATTGCTGCAGAATGAATCACTTAGGACTGCATTCCTATCTGACATTGGGGTTCTCTTGTAAACTCACTCAGACTTCTGAAAGATTCCATTCTTTGTAGTTGTAGAATTGTTGTTGCTTGTTGGTCAGGGCTCATCCCATTACTATAGGCTGTCATGAGATTCTAACCACAGGCTCTCATGGTGCATCAGATCACCTCTTAAAGCAAGCAAGAGAGTGTCCTGTAGGCTGCCAGAAGGGAGCCCAACAGCATCAAAGGGGAGGCTGATGCACCTCATTTCCTACATCCTATAACCTAATCAAGGGAAAGGCATCTATTTCAACAGAGGTCTCTCCCATACTCACGGTGAATGGTGGTAGAGAAAGGATTATATAAGGCATGTACATCAGGGGCTAGGGATCTTGGAGATCATCTTAGAAATTAGCCTATTACAGCAATGCAAATAATTGCTGTCCAGAGAAACACACATTATATAAAGCAGAATGCCACTGATTGGAATCCTATCAATACTGACAAGTTGTATTCATTTATAAATTATTTTCAGCAGTCATTATCTGACTATACGTTTTCTTTTGAATCAGTTATAATATTCTACCACTTTCTCATTAATTAATGAGTTCCATAAGATACTGGAGGTGCGGTGTTTGTATGAGCTATGATTACATCTTTTTATAGAATTTGGTCTGCAGTGGCAATGAATAAGTTAAAGGGATGTGCCAAGCAAATGTACGCATAGACCACTGCTTGTCCGATCATGTTAGAGTGGGCACACAGCAATTGGAGGCACTGATTTCTTTCAGTGTCCATCTGATCACCAGAGCACACTGTGCAACTTTACAGCTAGGCACAGCTGCCTACTGAAATGACTGAGGGACCTAGAAATGATGGTGGTCTTCTGGCTTGATGGTCTTCTGCAATCAAGATTAAAACCACAAGAGGAATCCAAAGCAGTCAAATGGTTTAGAGACTCAGTGGACTGCTTAAAAAAACAGATGCCCAATTCTTGTAGTTTCCATTCCCAAGTGATCTCTCCACAGGTGAATGGTTCAGGAGATTCTCTGGTTTTCTTTAGAGAATCAGATTTAGCTAGTAAGATAAAATGAAATCCTATTTCTCAAGACTATCTTGACCGCCACTTAATCTTTCTCTCTTTTCTATGCACAAAGCCCTTTGTACATGCATGTTTACTAATACTCTCCCTGCTTTAGCATAGAGATTAAATCAGTCTCCTTCTCTCCCTCAAATTAGATTATGGGTTCAAGGAAGGCACTTAGCAAATACAACAGTTCCCTGTTTAGTATAGGCCCTGCTGCAGGCTCTTCTGATTGCCTGTCTTAACCTGACAATCACCAAGTGAGAAAGTTATTATTATCCCATTTGCAGTGAGAACAAAGGTCTTTAGAAGGAAAACACTCATCCAAAATTACATAGTAAGTATGAGGCAGCCTTAAATTTGTCCTCCTTAATATCACACTGCATAGTAAGTAGTGGTTGGATTTATTCTAAAAATAACAAACATTAAATGTGATTTTGTCTATCACTGAATGTAAAATCAAACTAGCCAAACATTCACAGATTCGTTTTCATTGAATCTTGCCTTTTTCATAGCTCTCATGTCTTCTATCATTGTCAACTCAACTGTATAAAGGAATTGCATTGTAACATAAAAAGGAGAGAAATACATTGTTGTTAAATCTAACAGTTAACATCGATTTTGTTTTTAAATAACTGGCTGTAGGCTGGATATGGAGGCACATGCCTGTAATTTCAGTATTCTGGGAAACTGATCCAAGAAGATCTCAAGTTCCAACCCAGCATGGGCAACTCAATGACTTAGCAAGACTTATCTCAAATTAAAAAAGGCCAGGGGTGTAGCTCAGTGCAAAGATCTTGAGTTCAATTCCTTGTAGCACACCAAAAATTTCACTTTGGAAACATTCTTTTCTACTTTGAACCACAGACTCTACTAAGGTGTTTCATGTACTTTTCAGAAGTCTTTTCTTATTTGTGTATAGGCATTGCTCAGCTGGACAGAATTATCTTAGCTCTGAAAGATGTTTTTAATTTTTCAGAATATAATGTGTGGAAATATATTTAATAACTGCTTCCAATGTCAGCACTTGAAAATTCTGTATATTTTTTCATTGTTTTGTCTTAGCAAGAATGTTTGAACATTTGTTAGTCAGAGCTAATAGTGGAATGAAATATAAGCTTAATGGTACAAAAAGAAGCAGATATAACTTTAATATTCAGCCATCATGGTAGGAATATCAGTGAGACCAGAACATAAGCTTCATATTCTTAAGTCTACTTAAAAAGTAACACTTGAGGGTTGAGACTGTCGCTCAGTGGTAGAACATTTGCTTAGCATGTGCAAAGCCCTGGGTCCGATCCCAGCCCTGCACACCACACAAAAAAGAGGCTTGATAACCTAAGCCTCAGAAACTGTACACTCCTTTGATTTTTCAACTTTCTGCCAATTTTTTTCTCTTAGAAAAGAGTCATTCTCTACTACACTTTTATACATATTTTAACTTTGGAAATACTACGAATATTACAATACTATTAAAATTATTACTAAGCAATTATTAAAAATATTAAATGTATTCCAGCCGCATGAAAAGATGTATTCAGCTGACAATTATTTTCCTTAACTCCTGTTAGCCTAGGGCTGTTCTAATTCTCAGCTTCAAAACTTCTGAATTATTAAAAAATTATTCCAAATTCTGAATAGTAGCTAATTTAAATTTTGGTATAGAATTCTGTTCAATTGTTTTGAGAAGTAATCTCCCAAGAGTGAAATTCTAAATATTTTCTACTCTATCAGTGTTTTAAGATGAGTCACCCTTTGTTACCTCTAAAGTTTTCAAATCCCTTGGTTTACTCTTTCCTCAGTGCAAGGTCACTGCAGAAATAAGCACCTACATTCAGAACTAAAGAAATAAATCGTGTTCAAGCCCCACTGTGCTTTTTCACATCATGAAGAGGAATGAAAGCCTAGTTACATCTCCACTGCTCTGTCTTCACCAATGGGATAAAAGGAGGCAAATTATGTTAGTGTAGCACAGGTCTTTCCTATAAAACTTAGGCATGAGTCATATTACAATGTTACCACTTGTAGCACACTAAAAATAACTGGAGCTGGCAGCTCCTGCTCGTCCACACTGGTCATGTGACAGGGACAGACTCCAGGTCCCACCTGCACTCTCCACTGCTTGGCAGCGACTGATGTCCACAGGGCAAAGAGGAATGAACTACCCAAGGACTTAGGGAACATTTCTTTAAAAAGACCAAAATGAGGACTAAGATTTAGACCTCTCTGTGTCTGAAACAGCACTGCATAACTATCTGGGGCCGAGAGTTACTGATTTAAGGGTAACAGTGACTGAGCCACACCCACCTGGCACTGCTTGTACCGGTGGATTACAGGCCAGTAGCATTCAGCATCTCCAAAATGGCCTTGGTACAAACTGACACAATGGAGCCTGAGAGTTTTGACTGATGATTATTAACACCCAATTTTCCCATTTTCATGAAAGACTAAATAATAGAACTCCTTCAAGCAGTATATTTCAAAGTTCTTAAAAAGTTCTATTTGGTAGACATCAGTTGACAGTAGAACTGGACACAGTGGAATAAATACATTTTCTTAATTTATTTTCAGTCATGACATATTTTTAAATGCACATAAAACTGTCTAAGATCATCCCTAAGAAATTTTCCAGTTTTGATATTTTTAAAAATACCAACTTGCTGATAATAGATTAAAAATACACTGGGATTTTAAAAACACATTTTGGATTATTTATATGTTGAACACATCCATAAATATATATATATATATATCAAAGAAATCATGTAATTAAACCAAACAAAATACACACTGATAAATTTGTTCTCTTAAAAATTTTAGATAATATTTGTTTCTTTACTCTAAATCATTCCAGTACTCAAATAATATACTAGTAATACTTTTTTAACTCAACATACCCAAAATACTTCCTCTCCTGGTACCTGTCCTGGAATTACCTGTATTGCTTTCTCATGTTGTGCCCAACTGCATTGGTCTCCCAAATCTTAGTGGCCAGAACTCTGACAGTATTCAGAAACAGAATGAAATTCAACTGAAAGAGAAGATAACATTACAAATTATTAAATGAATCTTCAAGACGTTTATAGAAATTACACTATTCAAAGACTGAAGATTATCCATTCCATAAATGTGAATGGGGGACTCTTAGATAAGACACTGGAACATGTCTTTATCTGATTCTTCCTTTGCCTATATAAAAACACAAAGAAAGATTAAAAAAAAATTTCAACACCGAAAACCAGAAATACCCAAGAACAATCTGCCAGGATTCAATTTCCAAGCCAGAGTTGAAATGAAACCCTGAGGCAAAACTAGCAGGACAAGAAATAATAGTTATTACATAATTATGATTTTATGATTTTAAATTGAATTGATACCTAGTTTCTGTCTGTAGTTTTGGGGAGAGAAAAAATAAAGTTGCTTGAAGATCTTACCTATGATGTAGGAAAGGTATCTGAAGATGCATATTAAAATTTAAAACTGAACAAACAGAGCAAGATGTTGTACAAGAAAATACCCACTGCAGTGCAGAGGATTAAACTGAATTTGGCATGTTATGGACATGGCACACGAGACACAACCAAGTTCTGTGTTTAAAAAGTAGAGCCAGGGTATTAGGGCAGGAAATCCTTTTATGTCTAACAACCTCAAAGATAAGTGAAGGAATCCACCATGAAGGAGAAAGAAAAGGTTGCTGAGATCACAAGGAGATGGAGTCTGGGTTCCTTCACTCAAGGAAAAGGCTGCTCTCCAGAAAAGTGCTGATACATGGGAATAACAGAAATGCAGTTTGCCAAGAGCAGTCACAGTGTCGGTGTCAATGCCAGAGCAGGACCCAGAAGAAAGGAGCCAGCAGGTTCTGTATTCCAAAAGACAGCCTGTCCTTAGAGACCCCAAGATTCCTGGAGTTTGGACAATTTTTGGTTATTGAGTAATTTATGTAGCTGATTGTTTGCATCAGCTACAAATCCACTGTGAACATATTTTCTACCCTCCTACCATTGACTGCACCCTCAACAATTCCACAATTTGTGAGCTGGTAGAAAAGGGGTATTTCTAAGCTAATCATAGCTGCCATTTCTTGGAATAGTTTCTAAGTCTCACATGAATATGAATTAGGTGTTTTTCATATGTCTATTTATTATGTATTTGAAGAAATCCAGTTCAGTGAGCTTAACTGATTTGTCCTGGCTGTAATCTGAACTAAGTCTTTGTGAGTTCATATTGTGAATTTTTAACCACAATCTTACAAATTCCCTTGACAAAAAGATGCAACACATGAGAGTTGATGATTTCCATCTTCATCCACTACAACATGCTGCTTATAGACACAACCTTTTTCAATAAGAAAATCACGAGTCTACTTTTTGAATGGCCAAATTTGGTTTCTGCCCATGCACCTTTAACCCCAAGACAGGGATGCAGTGTATCTGGGGTGCAGAGTCTGGAAGGCACTGAGTTAACACTCCAGTGTAAGCAACAAAGTGATGTGAACTGAGCTGGAAGGGCTGTGGAAATTTTGGAAAATATAGACTATAGGGCAATTAGAAACTAACTTATTGACTAATATTGTAAATGCTTCAAATGAATTATTCTTCAGTCTTCACAATAGCTGTACAACAGAGTTACATTATCGTCTACATTTTGCAAATGAAGAATCTGGGGCACAGGTTACACAAATTATAGTTGGTAACACAGCTAGCAAGAGGTAGGGTCCCAACACATCCCCTGCAGCCTGCATTCACTCTGTGTGTTCTTGACCACAATTCTGTCCATCAAACAGAATTGCACTGATAGCTCACGGAGGAACAGAACAGAATATTTTTGAGAGCAGGATGGATTAACAACAGATCATAAAAGCCTAAAATATAACCAAGTTTCACAATCAGCATTAGAAATAGCAAGAATTAGATCCAAGAGAGCAAAGAAATGCAACCAACAACTTAGAGGATACTTGAATCCTCCCAGATAGATAGGAAAGAGGAAAGACCTGTGTAAGGAGGGGTAAAATGCTGATAAAGAACACGCGGATTGAGAGTCAACATGCAAATTGTTCTTTTTTTGAAGGAAAGATCCAGACAAATAGGAAAAAAAAAACAATACAGATGGAACAGAAAAAATTCTGCACTAAACATAGATTCTGCAAATGGAAAAGTAAACATGATACATTGGGTGAGAGGAATAAAGAACAAAACCAAAAGGATGTGACTGTTATTTTATTATTATTACACTATAATAGATGTTATTATTCTTATTACTATAAAGGAAAAGCATTAGAGTCCTTGAAATTTCCCCCTTCAAGCTCAGTCTCAAGCAAAGCACAGGGCAAAAGCAGGGAAGGCATGATAGAAAGCACACTGTTGATAAACATTTAAGTCAGTAACAGACTGAATATTATTTTTAAATATCACAAATATAGAAAATGGATTCTTTCTGAACTTAAATAAATTCAAAGATTTGTTCAAAAACGACCACAAAGAATTCAACTAAGAGCTCAAAGTTTCAGCCAGGAGGCTCTGGCTCCAGGGGTCACCCGGCCCTGAAGCTATGCTGTAGCTTCCCTTGTCTCCTCCTCCTCACGACTCCCCACTCACACACCCTCAGTGGGTCAGCTCATTCTCGGGCTTTGGGCTGAACATCATTTTTGATCCACAAGCTCTTCCTGATGCCACCATCCCTGCACAGCACTGGACACACTGAGGGGTTTGCTTCACCCAGTTTGCTTAGGCACCACTGCCTCACTGTGTGCCCACAATATTCACAATTTTCAGATAACACTTGTTAAATGACTGAATGAATAAATGAGAAATGCCTGATCCAAGCACTGCTTACACTGGAGTAAATCAACAGCTCTCCCCTGCACACATTCCTTCTAGGAATCCCTCCCAAAAGATACCATGAGAAAAAGAAATCTAAATTTAGCTATAAGAAAATTGCCAGTTCAAAAGATCTATGAAACTGCCTTTCTACACTTGAAATGCAAGACCGGGCAGGAAGATTAAGGCCTAATTGGCCTCTTCTGCAAGCACTAGGGACAAAGACAGTGTGAGTGCCTGCTGACACGCTGCAGGGAAAGTTAATACTGCGGAGATCCTGTTGTTTACCAGGACACACACCATGGCTGGCAGGAGGCGGACAACTCCTATTTCACTCTAATTGCTTGGACCCGAGTCAATAAAGGTAGAGTGTGCCAGGCACTCAAGGCCCTTAGCAGAAGGGACACAAGAGCCCCTTGCCCCACACACACACATTTTAACCTAATTCTGTGTCGTCCCCTCGGTCAGGTACAAGCCTTCAGGCTGGCTGCTACATTCATCAGCGCCTTTGGACACACAGATAGGAGTGTCTTCTCCCCGGTCCTCATTTTTCTTCTCAAGGAAGGGGTTTCAACTGATACACACTTTTTAATCCTCTCTTCTTTCTAATCTTTTCCCCCATCCTTGGAGGAGACAGACTGGAGTATTTGATACATAAATATGGAAAGAAATACCAAGAGTACTTCAGGCAGCTTATCCTGCTCCTTTCTCCTGGGGACCTGCAGTGAATGTGTCCAGCCCCTCCAGGGAAGGGAGGCTGCCCTTTGGCACCGTGTCCCTGGCTAGAAAAGCCTCCACTAATTATGAACCTCTGCAGCAGGCCCCCTGGCTAACAAGCATAAGGTCACGTCCTCCAGACCAGCCTCTACTAGCAAGGAAGATTTTGTTTTCATTCTCCCTCTACCCACTTTGTCCTAGAACTTGACTTGTTTAAAATCAGGGCAGCAGAGAAAGGTGCCATGATTATTTCCTCTCAAAAACCCTCTGAATACGTCCTGTGCACACATCCAATATATTGGCTTATTTTTCAGTATCCTAAACATAAATATTTTTAGTCTCATGCAAAATGGGACTAAACGTTGAACATGTAGATGGCAGATGAGTACTAAACTTCCTAATCTATACCAAATACTATAATTTGATTAGCTCTATGACAAATATAAAGACAAAAGCTAGTTTGTTATCAGTTGGAATTCAACTTGTAATTTCAGGGCAGGATCTTTGGTAAATGTTAGAACTTCAGTTTCACTTAAGCTTCTTTTTCTGACTGATTTAGGAAAGGAAAAGAGGCCTGGAAGGGAGATTTTTTTTTCCTCTGGTTAAAAAGTCAATTTCGTATTTGCAATTCTGTCACAGATTAGAGATTAACTTTTTCTCCATTTTGCTGAAACTTCTTTCTTTACCAATTGTCTCTCTCACTTCCTCCCTGCCTTCTTTTTGGAGACTGAGCCTCCTCTAACAACTAAGGACAAATGAATCACTGGTCCAACAGCAGAGAGCAACTTGCATTTTTTGTGTCTCCTCTGCATATTTTGAAAAGAGCGCTGAATATGAGATTTTTAAATGTATCACTTAAAAATTTTTCCTAAAGGCTTTTATGAGAAGCGTCATCTTACTCCTTCTGCCAGGATGCTGTGAGACAATTTTTGACAAGTATGTTGAACAAAACATTCATAAGAAAAAACCTGAAGCTGTTTGTTTAACAATGCAGGCCACCTAGGACTCAGCGTCTGGGGGAGTCACTAACGTGGTTAGTCATTCAAACCAGAGCATTACTCACACGATGAGTAAACTCAGGCTAAACATCAAAAACCATTTGTTGGAACCAAAGATTAGTTCTGAGGTTGGTTACACAGTGGCACTAAGAAGTAGGCATCTAAAAACATGTAAATATATGCCAATAAAAAGTGACTCAGGCAAGAAGTAATCACTTCAGATCACTATTCCCTAATATTCACTAACACTATAAACTTTCATGGTTACATCCACTCTCTGTGGAGTTACTCAAAGGTCAACATTCCTTTAATAGTGTTGTTAGACTAACAGGAAATAAAATATTATCAAAATGTTACCCAGCCTGAATACGCTAGTTACTGGAAAATGAACCACTGCCTTGCAGAAAAACAACCTTATGAATTCAGGTGTCCCAATGAGTGACCAACCTCGATTTCCCATTTTAGTTTTAGGCATTTTTTTCCTTTAATGCCACCTGAAA